CAATCAGACACTTTATTTGTCAATATTGTTTGACAAATAACAATAGTTCATGCAAACTACAAAAAACATACTCCCTCCGTCCCTAAATATTTGCCACACTTGTATTCCCGAGGTAAAATATCAAGTTTTTTCAATTCATTTTATTTACATATTGGTATAGAAATAAAAAATAAAATTTACATATCAAAAAACTACATAAAAAGTTATTCGAAATAAGAGGTGTCAAGAATATTTTATTTTATCAAATAACCAATGAAAACGTAGAAATAAACAAAAGTTCCCACGACTGCTGAAAAAGCAAATGTTGTAAATATTTTGGGACGGAGGGAGTACAATTATTAAATTGACGAAAACTAACTTAAATGCATTTCATACAAATGTGTTATTCCCTCCGTCCGGAAATAATCTTCCCGTTTCTCCTTTTTCTCCGTCCGGAAATAATCTCCCATTTCAATTTTTATACACAAACTACCCAAAATACCGCCACTTATTTATCACTCTTCACTCATATTACCCCCTCTCTCTCCTCCATCATTTCTTGGCCTTGTCTCTGCTCTTCTATTTCTCACTTTCCCTTCTTCTTCTTCTCCCCCCCCCCATATTATTTCACGCCTCTTTTTTTTCTGTCAAGATCTGCTCCTCCTCCTATGTCTCCTTCTTTTCCTCATATTCTTTCTCCAGATCCGCTCGTCCTCCTCCATCCCCTTCTCCTTTCTCCTGTTTATTTGTCTTCCGGATTTGCCAGGTTAGGACAGATCTGTTCTTGATATGGCAATGGCGGCAGCGGTTGGGTAGATAGCGATGGCGGTGACTGATGCAGTGGTATGAGTTGCGGTTATGGTGTTCGGGGTGGGCAAAGATGGTGAGTTGTACTCAATTTTTATAGATCTAATATATTGGGGCGGACCACAATTGTGGTGGGGACTAAGGCAGTGGTGGGGCTGGCGAGCAGAGGGGGTTGGCGATGGTGTGGGTGGCTGTAAAGGGGGGCCGGCGGCGGTGGCGAGATTGGACGGAGATTGTGGAAGCAAATGGCAGAAGCAGGTGAGGGCAGTGGTAATAGTGGCAAAAGAAAAGGGCAGTTTGGACGTTTTCATTCCATTGTCAACTCTCCATAAAAATAGAAAAAAGTCAAAATGGGTAGATTAATACCGGACGGAAGGAGTATGAATTTATAAAATACGGAGTAAAATGATATCTTACTTACATAAGATGCAATATACAAACAACACAAGAATGGAATTATAAATTTTGGAAAAAATTATTTATGCATAAAATTCAAAGTTTGGTCAAAAGTATTGTTTTCTTCATCACAAGCTAAGAACACATTTTTACCACGCGACTTGGGGTTATATTGTACTCCATTTTCATCTGTCCCAATTTAAATTGTATATTTACCAATTTACTACATCAAATTTAATTACTTTCTTTACTCATTTTTGTTACTCATTTGATAAGATAATAATCATTTCACCTCTTGTTTTGTATAACTTCAGTTAAACATCATAAACAACCACTGATAACTTAAAATGGGACAGAATAACCGTTTAAAACACTGTGGTTCCATTAAAAGTTTCATAATAAATTTACACGGAAAGCCTTTGCAAATAAGAAATCATATAAGAAGCTTTTATCTCAATAAACATTTACTATTTGTCAAAAATCAAGAAAAAACAAATTACACAAAAAATGGACTCTAAGATTTTAGAATGTTGGCCTCTATCTTCTCAAGTCCTTTTGTGCTTCCATTTCTTTTGAAAGTAAAATATAAATAAAAAAAGTACTCTAACATTTATCAATTAAGGAGCCCATATGAATGCAGAGTAATCTCAAACATATAGAAAAACGTGGATTAATGTGTTTTTTATCTCACAGCCTAAGCATTCGGCCAGCTATTGAGAGCATAGAGAGTGACACAAGGATTATGCTATGTGTACCCCAAGGGTTGTACCCCAATTTGTATCCCGCAGTTTTGCACCAACACTTTGTGTTGGTGTAAAACTAATTTTTGTTAAATGCACCAACATTTGTGTCCGTGTGAATTTTTATTAACGCACCAACACTTGTGTCGGTGTAAACCATCGAAATGTTTGTGCAAACCTGTGGTGTACAAATGGGGTATATTTTTTGGTGTAAGTGTAGCATGGTCCGTGACACAATAGTCTCTCATCAAGCTTCAACATCACCTTAGCTTCTTTGCTCTGTACGGAGTAAAAAAAATAAAAGAGGGTAATATCATAGGTGACAAACTACAACAGAACAGTGTCATGTGGCAATAATTAGACAGCAGTTTCTCTATTATACATACCATTTATATAAATATGCAAAGAATTGGAGAGGATGAAATCCTATTTTGCCGATTTATGGATGCTCCAGATATAATCTAAATATCTAATAAGAAAATTATTGCCCCAGGTCTGAATCTAGGGTCAGAGAAAAACATACTATACGGTTTGAAAAGCTCAAATTTAAGAGTAAATAAAAAAAATATAGACACGTAAATCAAAGGTCAGAGAGGGTCGAAGAGAAAATACCACCACAAGTTTGAATCAACCAGTTTTGACAAGGCTTCTTCGGATTCTTTGCTAATGGAGTCATCAGTTTTCAAGCTGCAAGATTAAAAGATTTTTAGTACCCCGGAGTATTTGAAACTGCAAGAATAAGGGTCACAGAGAGCAAATAAAAGTGGAGCTGATTATTATTTTAATGTAATTATGAGACATGAAATGGCCAAGGGAGTAATAACAATGTAAACTTGGGTAAGTATGAATGGATGAATAATTAGACAATGACACTGTTTGTACCATCAATGATTGTCGACCATCAATGATGGTGAAACTATCCAAAATGGTGGCAAGCTAACTAGTCTTCAGTGATTATAAGACATTAAATGACCCTAGTAGCAATGTTTCTTATGAGAAAAGTAGAAATGGACACATGGAGTGTAGTATAAATAGTAGTGGTTGGTGAAAGTAACTAAGTGGGGGTGCAAATAGATTAGTGATGTGGATACCTTAAAATATGTAAGGGGGTGGAAGAATAGGACTAAGTGGAGACATAAATCATTGCCAATGGAGAAAAAAATATACCAAAGTTATTTAATTAAGCATTCTGTCATTGAATACATGCTATTGGAGCTACATCATAAGCACCTCTTCTATGACCATCATAAGAGTACCTAAAAGCTACCTAGTCATGCCAATTTTTTTCCCTCTTCATAAGTTATTAGCTTTTCCACTGAAAAAAAAATATAAATTACAGAACAGCAATCCAGGATCTCTGACGAAACCATGTATACAAAGCATATTCAAAACTCACACGTATACAATGAATGGGAGACATATTTCCACCTAAAATCTGTACTGCAACTTGAAGCGGCATAATCAATAATCACAGAAAGGTAAAATTAAATATGAAAACAATGAATTCAAAATAATTGATTGTTTGAAAGGTCTAGATTAAAAAATGAATTCAAGAAAAAAATACCACTTAAAATGGTGGTGCCACTGTCGAATTTGTGTGAAGTCATTGACCTTTGGGAAGAATCCAAAGCCAGAAACATTCTCCCTACTCAGATGAAGAGAGGAAGAGGATGGAAGATCCTACCATAAATACAAAGAAATTAAAATAGAAAATAAGAAAGGGTGTTACCCTGGTTGCTGAATCCGTGCCCCTGTGCTGCGCCATAGTTTGTAGTTGTTGTCCCAATTTAACCGTCTCATGCGCTAGGGTCAAAACCCTAGTCCGGCGCTTCCATCCGTCTCTATGCATCCCCTCTCACTTTGTAGGCACTAGAGATCTGCTCAAGGCTTAGCGCCAAATCTGCCGTGGGAACAAAAATCAGGCGAATGAGATCGTAGCTCTCCATGGATTTGACAGAAATAGGCGTCTGCCTTATCAGAGACACATAAGGATCTGTCCAAATTGGAGGTTTTGAATGGAGAATTAAAGGGGAGTTTGGGTTACTGAGGAACCAATGAACTTCTGAATGAAATGTAGCGATTTGTGCTTTTCAATAAGTCGACTCCCACCCTAAACTGTAGGCATTTGACATCTATAGGCCTTAACACTCTGGCGGCTCACATGCCCAAACTTTCTTAACCTAGTTTCTTGCATCTTATACTCGACATATGCCACACCTATCCGTGTCTAATCTATGTAGTTTTCATGTTTTTGGTAGTTTTAGAGTGTTACGCATTTAAAATCTCAACATCTCTATCCATTTGTGATTATTTTAAATATGCCTAAAAGATTTACAGAAATCACCTTCAACAACAGCAAAACTTGTAAATCTCAACATTTCTATCAATTAGTGATTGTTTTAAATATGCCTAAAAGATTAATGCAAATCATCTTCAACAACAGCAAAACTTGTTGTATTTGCTCATTGTAAAGCAATAGTATGATCAAGAGCATATAAATAATGAGCACACAGAAATAAGAGCATTTAACGTGATGCGCCGGTGCAGCCATCGTATCTAATATACGGAGTACATCAATTAATCATCACATCACTACCTCCGTGTAATTTACTGCCTGTGATCAGGTTTGTGTGCCATTGGTCACAAGCATGTAGAGGAGTTTTGAAATTGCAGCAGATGTTTAAAACAAGGTTAATAGGAGACTGGGTTTTAGTTCATCTTGATTCCAACCTATGAAAAGGAGATTATATATAAAAAATGACAACACATACATGCTATATTTATTACAGAGTACTAAATGTTTTACCTGTATGTGACTTCTCTCAGAGCATGTAAGACTCTTTGATGAAGCATCCTTAAAATATATATAGCAAGCAATACTCCCTAACTACCCCACCATTAATTAGTACCCTTCATTCCACATTAACTATCTAATAAAACATTCTTGATACATTAAAAAGTGAATGAATGTAGACACCCTTTTTGTCTACATTCATTCATTTCTCAATGTATCAAGAATGTCTTATTAGGCCGTTAATATGGAATGGAGGGAACAACAACAACAACAACCCAGTTAAATCCCACAAGAGTAGGGTCTGGGGAGGGTGTGTGTACGCAGACCTTGCCCCTACTCGAAAGTAGAGAGGCTGTTTCCAAAGAGACCCCCGGCTCAACGTCGAAAGTTGCATTGCTTGACTAACTACTTCATTAATTAAAGAAGCGCAGATAGTTTAGAGATCCATTTTGATTTATTCCATCACACCCCAAAGCCAAAAAATGGTGAAATTTTGGCTCCATCGGAGATGATGGAAAAAAATATGGAATGGAGGGAATACCTATTATATTTATTCATTCCCGCTTTATATAAATATAGAACTCAGAATCTAGGTGCATTCAATGCATTGTGTGGGTGCACAAGGAATTGGCGTAGGCCACTCAGGCACTACAAAGTGAAAAACATTGCGCAATGGGTAATCAATTTCGACGCATCTCTCAATGATATTCTTGTCAAACACTCTAACTTCCTTAGTCTCCAAATTGCACGAGAAGATCCGCGAGTCCCCTACTTTTTCCGCGCCGTGATAAAAATATATCACATCCTCCTTATTTGGATCCATGCTCAAAAGTATGATACGCTGTGCACGGAAGAACCACCATTGGGATCCATAGTCATCTAAGTCACTCTCGTCATCACTGTTCATTTCGCACTGGAGTCGCAGAGGGGCGTCGTCCGTGATGAAATCCCGGAAAACGAGCTCATTCACAAACCTCCACTCTTCTGTCTCATAGTCCTCTAATTCCCAAGTCATGAAAACCCCATGCCTACCACCAGTGTGGTCATAGTGCTGAGCTACTCGGAAACTCCCATTGCACTCCCCAAAACTCAAGAAAGACCTACAAAATTGGCCCAGTCTATATCTAGGTGGCTGCTCAATCACGCGGCATCTCGCTGGCTCAAAGGGATTGTAAGCCACAATGCTATCATCAATCCAATTCTCAAACAACAGTAAGCCATTCCAGCACAACAGATTATTCGTTGCGTAACTCTTATTTTTAAAATCAAAACCGAAAAGGGAACTGTTGGGATGGCGTACCTCTACCTCCTCCCATTTGTTTGTTTCCGAGGAAAAGACCTCGGCTACGAAAGAAACAGCATTATAAGATTCGAAATCATGATGAATCCGAACCACTCTGTAACTCATCCCATCACCAGAGACCACCAGGCCAGTGGCTACACCTTTCATAAATTTGAATTTAGTTGGGAAGGGCGGAAGGGAGATCCATTGCCTGGTCAGCGGGTTGCATATGTAATAAACCCTATCCTCCAATTCCATCTTGTCTCTAATCGCGTGGCACAAGAACAGATCTTTGCACGATGCGGCTATTCGGACGCTGGCGGCCCTTCTAGGTCTCGAACAAGGAAGATAATCGAACTTGAATCTGGGAAACTGGAACATTGGGTGCTGGGAAGCCACATAGTTCGTCATGTATTTGTCCTCATCGCGTCGGATCCGAACGTTGATGACCATGGAATAGGGCAATGGCTCGCCGGGATGAAGAGTTCTGTGCAATTCCTTCCAGCATTTGAGAAAGATGGGACTGGAGATCAAGTAACGCCACCGCTTGGAGACCAATTTGCACCGAAACGCCATTTTGCAATTGGGGGTTCCCCTGCAGAGGATTTCGACCAACACAGCATCATCGATGTCCTCAATGGAAGCTGAAGAAATGCCTACTTCTGGTTTCGTCAATGTCGCCATTGAAGCAAAGCTGTGTGAAATTGGGGGTTAAATTGGATTTTTCTTTCTGAAAAAATGGGAAACGAAGTGATATGGGCTTAATGGAGCAGACGGCTTCTAGCAATTGTATAGGGATTAGGGAATGCTCCGATGTTTGTTTGGGGCGCACGTCAACTTGGGCTCCAAACAATTGCTCCACGTCATATTCACATATCATTATGGATTAATTGACTCAAGTTGTTTTTTTGAGTTATGCTAGAATCATAAATAAAATACTCACAAAATATACAAATTTACCATTTGAATATTTTAGTGTTTATTTTTAAGTATTTGAGACTATTATTTGAACTCTTTACATTACATATTCGACAAGTTTGTGAATTTTGTGAATATATTGTTTGTGACTATACTCTAATTTTTCAAAGGTAAGAAGATGCTAATGCACCTTCATTTTTTTGCTAATGTGATACTTTACACTGTACAAAATATTAGTACAAATTTTTTTATTGTATTACTCCCTCCGTCCCAAATCTTTTTTCTAACTTTCCTTTTTGAGTCGTCTTACTTATTTTTTCTCATTTCCTTATTTAGTATATTGTTATCCAAAAAGACTAACTTATCCTTCTTTTATTCTTCTTTCTTCTCTTTTTTTCCTGACTAATTCTTCCCGTCACCCCACACCTTCCACTCCCAGCTAGAGGTGGACACGGTACGGCTCCGGAACGGTTCCGGTACCGCCACCCTTAGGAACCGGTATCGTGACCGATCCTGACGGTACCGGTGCTGGTACCCGGACCGGCGGTTCCGGTACCGGACCGGCCGGTTCCGACCACCCCCTATTTTATTTTTTTTTGCTTTTTTTTAAATTTTTAAAAGTGTAAAATTGTAAATGTGTAATTGTTAAAGGAAATAATGAAATAAAAAATCTAAAAATGTAGTTGTTATTTAAATATTGTCAAATGAGTAATACACGAGCTGAGAAACAACTACATTTAATATCCTGACGGTTCAAAAAAAGCGACGAGGTAAAGAAGCGTAAAGAAACTCTCGAAGGAGCTTATATATCGCACCTTCGGGTTTGACTCATTTTTAACGGGTAATTTCAGGTTTGGTCAACTTCGGGTTCGGTCAGCAAAATCTTTGTTTCAAAAGCCTTTATTTTCGGGTCGGGTCTCGGGTCAAAAACAGATCGGGTCATTTTTTGCCAGGTCTACTAATGAATATATGGGCATGAATTACTTATCTTTTATCAAAACAAGTCCCAATGAGACACTTTATTTGTCAATATTGTTTGACAAATAACAATAGTTCATGCAAACTACAAAAACATACAATTATTAAATTGACGAAAACTAACTTAAATGCATTTCATACAAATGTGCTATGAATTTATAAAATACGGAGTAAAATGATATCTTACTTACATAAGATGCAATATACAAACAACACAAGAATGGAATTATAAATTTTGGAAAAAATTATTTATGCATAAAATTCAAAGTTTGGTCAAAAGTATTGTTTTCTTCATCACAAGCTAAGAACACATTTTTACCACGCGACTTGGGGTTATATTGTAAAAAAAAAAAGAAACAATATGAATTCTAAGAACCAAAAGAACCCATCAACGACTAAACTCGAGATCATTTGGACAAGTCTCATTGATATTCCATCCGTCCCAATTTAAATTGTATATTTACCAATTTACTAGATCAAATTTAATTACTTTCTTTACTCATTTTTTTTACTCATTTGATAAGATAATAGTCATTTCACCTCTTGTTTTGTATAACTTCAGTTAAACATCATAAACAACAACTGATAACTTAAAATGTGACAGAATAACCGTTTAAAACACAGTGGTTCCATTAAATGTTTCATAATAAATTTACACGGAACGCCTTTGCAAATAAGAAATCATATAAGAAGCTTTTATCTCAATAAACATTTACTATTTGTCAAAAATCAAGAAAAAACAAATTACACAAAAAATAGACTCTAAGATTTTAGAATGTTGGCCTCTATCTTCTCAAGTCCTTTTGTGCTTCCATTTCTTTTGAAAGTAAAATATAAATAAAAAAAATACTCTGTAACATTTATCAATTAAGGAGCCCATATGAATGCAGAGTAATCTCAAACATATAGAAAAATGTGGGTTAATGTCTTTTTATCTCACAGCCTAAGCATTCGGCCAGCTATTGAGAGCATAGAGAGTGACACAATAGTCTCTCATCAAGCTTCAACATCACCTTAGCTGCTTTGCTCTGTACGGAGTAAAAAAAAAATAAAAGAGGGTAATATCATAGGTGACAAAATACAACAGAACAGTGTCATGTGGCAATTCTCATTGTGTGCAAATTCCAGTGATAGACAGCAGTTTCTCTATTATACATACCATTTATATAAATATGCAAAGAATTGGAGAGGATGAAATCCTATTTTGCCGATTTATGGATGCTCCAGATATAATCTAAATATCTAATAAGAAAATTATTGCCCCAGGTCTGAATCTAGGGTCAGAGAAAAACATACTATACGGTTTGAAAAGCTCAAATTTAAGAGTAAATAAAAAAATATAGACACGTAAATCAAAGGTCAGAGAGGGTCGAAGAGAAAATACCACCACAAGTTTGAATCAACCAGTTTTGACAAGGCTTCTTCGGATTCTTCGCTAATGGAGTCATCAGTTTTCAAGCTGCAAGATTAAAAGATTTTTAGTACCCCGGAGTATTTGAAACTGCAAGAATAAGGGTCACAGAGAGCAAATAAAAGTGGAGCTGATTATTATTTTAATGTAATTATGAGACATGAAATGGCCAAGGGAGTAATAACAATGTAAACTTGGGTAAGTATGAATGGATGAATAATTAGACAATGACACTGTTTGTACCATCAATGATGGTGAAACTATCCAAAATGGTGGCAAGCTAACTAGTCTTCAGTGATTAAGACATAAAATGACCCTAGTAGCAATGTTTCTTATGAGAAAAGTAGAAATGGATACATGGAGTGTAGTATAAATAGTAGTGGTTGGTGAAAGTAACTAAGTGGGGGTGCAAATAGATTAGTGATGTGGATACCTTAAAATATGTAAGGGGGTGGAAGAATAGGACTAAGTGGAGACATAAATCATTGCCAATGGAGAAAAAAATATACCAAAGTTATTTAATTAAGCTTTCTGTCATTGAATACATGCTATTGGAGCTACATCATAAGCACCTCTTCTATGACCATCACAAGAGTACCTAAAAGCTACCTAGTCATGCCAATTTTTTTCCCTCTTCATAAGTTCTTAGCTTTTCCACTGAAAAAAAAATATAAATTACAGAACAGCAATCCAGGATCTCTGACGAAACCATGTATAAAAAGCATATTCAAAACTCACACGTATACAATGAATGGGAGACATATTTCCACCTAAAATCTGTACTGCAACTTGAAGCGGCATAATCAATAATCACAGAAAGGTAAAATTAAATATGAAAACAATGAATTCAAAATAATTGATCGTTTGAAAGGTCTAGATTAAAAAATGAATTCAAGAAAAAAATACCACTTAAAACGGTGGCGCCGCTGGTGAATTTGTGTGAAGTCCTTGACCTACGGGAAGAATTCAAAGCCAGAAACATTTTCCCTACTCAGATGTAGAGAGGAAGAGGATGGAAGATCCTACCATAAATACAAAGAAATTAAACTAGAAAATAAGAAAGGGTGTTACCCTGGTTGCTGAATCCGTGCCCCTGTGCTGCTCCAGAGTTTGTAGTTGTTGTCCCAATTTAATTATCTCATGCGCTAGGGTCAAAACCCTAGTCCGGCGCTTCCATCCGTCTCTATGCATCCCCTCTCACTTTGTAGGCGCTAGAGATCTGCTCAAGGCTTAGCGCCGAATCTGCCGTGGGAACAAAAATCAGGCGAATGAGATTGTAGCCCTCCATGGATTTGACAGAAATAGGTGTCTGCCTTATCAGAGACACATAAGGATCTGTCCAAATTGGAGGATTTGAATGGAGAATTAAAGGGGAGTTTGGGTTACTGAGGAACCAATGAACTTCCGAATGAAATGTTTGTGCTTTTCAATAAGTCGACTTCCGATGAACATTTAATGTAGCAACATCTATCTTGCATCCCATCTGGCCTAGTATTCCCTCATTAACCTGTTTGAAGTAATCACATGACCAAAATAGATGATCCCCATCTTCCATCCCATTGTCAAAAAGGATATATTCCAAGTTACCATCAGCAAACTTACTTATCCTTCACTTGGTTTGCAATCCGTCTCTCATAAGAAGCCAAACAATAGTATATTGGTGTTTCAGGATACTCAGTCTATTCCAGACAATACTAGTCCAATCAGGTTTATTATGCTCTCTAGTTAGCCATCTCTATCCCTCCTTTGGACAGTAGTCTCCTACCTTTGGCATCCCAATGATTTCACCTCTTACGTTATCATCTTTTTCCAGTAGAAGCAGGAGTCATATTTAGGTATATAATTCCAGATATCACTCCCTTTGATATACCTAGCATGATTGCATGAATACACCTCACCCAAAGGTTAATAGACTAGAACAGATGTAGTATTAATAAATTTACAATGCCTAATTACTTATTGGTAAAATTTTTATAATCTCACACGTGACTAATTAATTATTTCTCTCTCCTTTGCACTATTTTTAATCACCCAACTTTATTTTTCTTAATCTCCATGCCCGGTTAATTGTGTAACGCTTTTGTGGGATAGAAAGAGTGATTTATAATTATATATAAAGGAGTAGAAGTCTCGTGTCTTATCACCTCATTCCAATTCTTTCTAGTATCCCCCCCCCCCTCCCTACTCCCACCCTAAACTGTAAGCATTTGACATCTATACGCCTTAACACTCTGGCAGCTCACATGCCCAAACTTTCTAACCAAGCTTCTTGCATTGTATACTCGACATATGCCACACCTATCCGTATCTAATCTATTTATTTTTCATGTTTTTGGTAGTTTTAGAGTGTTACGCATTTAAAATCTCAACATCTCTATCCATTAGTGATTATTTAAAATATGCCTAAAAGATTTACAGAAATCACCTTCAACAACAGCAAAACTTGTAAATCTCAACATTTCTATCAATTAGTGATTGTTTTAAATATGCCTAAAAGATTAATGCAAATCATCTTCAGCAACAGCAAAACTTGTTGTATTTGCTCATTGTCAAGCAATTGTATGATCGAGAGCATATAAATAATGAGCACAGAGAAATAAGAGCATTTAACGTGCTGTGCCGGTGCAGCCATCGTATCTAATATACAGAGTAAATCAATTAATCATCACATCACTACCTCCGCGTAATTTACTGCCTGCGATCAGGTTTGTGTGCCATTGGTCACAAGTGTGTAGAGGAGTTTTGAAATTGCAGCAGATGTTTAAAACAAGGTTAATAGGATACTGGATTTTAGTTGGTCTTGATTCCAACCTATGAAAAGGAGATTATATATAAAAAAAATTAACAACACATACATGCTATATTTATTACGGCTAAATGATTTACCTGTATGTGACTACTCACAGAGCATGTAAGACTCATTGAATGAAGCATCCTTACAATATATATAGCAAGCAATACTCCCTAACTACCCACCATTAATTGGTACCCTTCATTCCATATTAACTGTCTAATAAGACATTCTTGATACATTAAAAAGTGAATGAATGTAGACACACTTTATGTCTACATTCATTCATTTTTCAATGTACCAAGAATGTCTTATTAGACCGTTAGTACGGAATGCAGGGAATACCTATTATATTTATTCATTTCCCGCATTATATCAATGCAGAACTCAGAAGCTACGTGCATTGTGTGGGTGCACCGGGAATTGGTGTAGGCCACTCCGGCACTACAAACTGAAAGACATTACGCAACCTGTATTGAATTTCGACGCATCTCTCAATGATATTTTTGTCAAACACTCTCACTTCCTTAGTCTCCAAATTGCACGCGAAGATCCGCCTGTCCCCTACTTTTTCCGCGCTGTGATAAAAATATATCACATCCTCCTCATTTGGATCCATGGTCAAAAGTCTGATTCGCTGTACCTCGATGTAACCCAACACGGCGTAGTCATCAAAGTCACTCTCGTCATCACTGTTCATTTCGCACTGGAGTCGCAGAGTGGCGTCGTCCGTGATGAAATCCCGGAAAACGAGCTGGTTCACAAACCTCCACTCTTCTGTCCCATAGTCCTCTAATTCCCAAGTCATGAAAACCCCATGCCTACCACCAGGGTGGTCATAGTGCTGGACTACTCGGAAACTCCCATTGCACTCCCCAAAACTCAAGAAAGACCTACAGTATTGGCCCAGTCTATATCTAGGTGGCTGCTCAATCACGCGGCATCTAGCTGGCTCAAAGGGATTGTAAGCCACAATGCTATCATCAATCCAATTCTCAAACAACAGTAAGCCATTCCAGCACAACAGATTATTCGTTGCGTAACTCTTATTTTTAAAATAAAAACCCAAAGGGGAACTGTTGGGATGGCGTACCTCTACCTCCTCCCATTTGTTTGTTTCCGAGGAAAAGACCTCGGCTACGAAGGAAACAGCAGTATAAGATTCCAAATCATGATGAATCCAAACCACTCTGTAACTCATCCCATCACCAGAGACCACCAGACCAGTGGCTACACCTTTCATGAATTTGAATTTAGTTGGGAAGGGCGGAAGGGAGATCCATTGCCTGGTCAGCGGATTGCATATGTAATAAATCCTATCCTCCAATTCCATCTTGTCTCTAATAGCTTGGCACAAGAACAGATCTTTGCACGATGCTGCTATTCGGACGCTGGCAGCCTTTCTAGGTCTCGAACAAGGAAGATAATCGAACCTGAATCTGGGAAACTGGAACATTGGGTGCTGGGAAGCCACATAGTTCGTCATGTATTTGTCCTCACCTAGTCGGATCCGAACGTTGATGACCATGGAATAGGGCAATGGCTCGCCGGGATGAAGAGTTCTGTGCAATTCCTTCCAGCATTTGAGAAAGATGGGACTGGAGATCAAGTAACGCCACCGCTTGGAGACCAATTTGCACCGAAACGCCATTTTGCAATTGGGGGTTCCCCTGCAGAGGATTTCGACCAACACAGCATCATCGATGTCCTCAATGGAAGCTGAAGAAATGCCTACTTCTGGTTTCGTCAATGTCGCCATTGAAGCAAAGCTGTGTGAAATTGGGGGTTAAATTGGATTTTTCTTTCTGAAAAAATGGGAAACGAAGTGATATGGGCTTAATGGAGCAGACGGCTTCTAGCAATTGTATAGGGATTAGGGAATGCTCCGATGTTTGTTTGGGGCGCACGTCAACTTGGGCTCCAAACAATTGCTCCACGTCATATTCACATATCATTATGGATTTATTGACTCAAGTTGTTTTTTTGAGTTAGGCTAGAATCATAAATAAAATACTCACAAAATATACAAATTTACCATTTGAATATTTTAGTGTTTATTTTTAAGTATTTGAAACTATTATTTGAATTCATTACAATACATATTCGACAAGTTTGTGAATTTTGTGAATATTTTATTTGTGACTATATGATTACTCTAATTTTTCAAAGGTAAGAAGATGCTAATGCACCTTCATTTTTTTGCTAATGTGATACTTTACACTGTACAAAATATTAGTACAATTTTTTTTAGTGTATTACCCCCTCCGTCCCAAATCTTTTTTCTAACTTTCCTTTTTGAGTCGTCTTACTTATTTCTTTTCATTTCCTTATCTGGTATATTGTTATGCTAAAAAGACTAACTTATCCTTCTTTTATTCTTCTTTCTTCTCTTTTTTTTCTTGACTAAATCTTCCCGTCACCCAACACCTTCCACTCCCAGCTAGGGGTGGACACGGTACGGCTCCGGGACGATTCCGGTTTTGGAACCGGCAGTTCCGGTACCGCCACCCTTAGGAACCGGTGCCGGTACCCGAACCGGCGGTTCTGGTACCGGACCGGCCGGTTTCGGCCACCCCCTATATTTTTTTTTGCCTTTTTTTTAAATTTCTAAAAGTGTAAAATTGTAAATGTATAATTGTTAAAGGAAATAATGAAATAAAAAATCTAAAAATGTAGTTGTTACTTAAATATTGTCAAATGAGTAATACACGAACTGAGAAACAACTACATTTAATATCCTGACGGTTCAAAAAAAGCGACGAGGTAAAGAACCGTAAAGAAACCCTCGAAGGAGGTTATATATCGCTCACCTAAAAAAACTAATTACATATTTGCATTAACATAAAAAAGTTTATAACTTATTCCTCAGAACTAGGGCTTTCATCTGTGGTTGCATTCATGTAATGTTCGGAATTGAATTCATATCCTGACTCTGGAGCTCGACGTCTTGCCAAGAGCCAATCTCTATTGCAAACAAGTGTTTCAAGAGATTCAACGCTAAGACAACTTCGGTAGTCGGTTAGAATGTTGCCGCCAGGACTGAATTCTTGTTGCACTGCTACGGTTGATACCAGGACAGATAAAACTTGTCTTGCTATCATTCCGAGACATGGGAACATGTGTTCGTTCCGCTTCCACCATCCGAGGACGTCAAACACCACGTCATCGTCGTCGTCGTAATCGCATGGCACCCCTTGGTACATAGCAAGTTCGTTGTGCGAGCTCACAGTTGTACCACCTGAACTCGTCGAAGGCTGAGCACGCTTGCCTTTTTTTGCAAGAAGCCCACTGACTATTCCTTTAAATCCTTTTTTTTTATTTGGGGGGCGGAGGAGGTGCTGTTTCTTCCGGTACATTACCGTATATTCCTTGAAATTCCTTAAATAAAGCCTCAAAAAAAGTAATAGCATTATCTCTTTCTTTTTGGTTTCTATTAAATGGCTGTAGTAATAATTATTTTCATCTAAAAAACAACTGTAGTAATAGTCAATAAGAATTTTATAATTTTCAATCTTAAAACGTGGATCACAAATAATACCTATTTTATAAATATCAGGAATGTACAAATAATAAGCACACCATTTATCTTTCATAGAAGAGACATAAGGGTACAAATCTAGATCAGCCAAACTTTCACGAAAACATGTTGCGATTGTAACGCACTCTTTAAAAAATCTATTTGTAGTTGGTTGGTAAACATGCGAGAAAGTAAGAGTTGCGTTATTAAAAACTTCTAATATGACATTCAATTTTTCAACAATAACAAATTCATTAGATGAAATCATTAAACGAAGTTCATCCCTAAAAAATTCAGTAAGTTGCTCTTTGTAGCTTAGAATCTGTGCCATCAACTTGTATGTACTATTCCATCTAATAGTGATATCTTTGGCAAATGTTATTGCTCTTCTACCCTTAGACTTACAGAATGACTTCCAGGAATTCGAATGAATACGACTACCCCAAATCCTTTTAATTCCATTTTTAGTATTCGTCAAAACTCCCCCATAGCTTCTAATCCCTGTTGAACACATAAATTTAAAACATGACAAGCACACCTTTGATGCAGAAATCTACTCATACTCCTAGTAAGGGGGCAAATTTCTTTAAGTCTAGAAATAGCAGCAGTATTATTAGTAGCATTATCAAAACCAAATGCAAACACTTTATCAACTAAGTTGTATTCTCGCAGAATACGCTGAAGCAATAAAAAAATATTTTCAGCAGTATGAGAATCATTGAAATCACGAAATGCAAGAATACGTTTATGCATTATTCAATCACTATCTATCCAATGACAAGTAACACCCATATAAGACAAATTATGATATGTTTCACCCTAAATATCAGAACAAATAGTAACACGAGAATTAAAATTGAGAAAAAAATTTGCCAAATTTATTTTTTCAAGTTTATATTGTCGAATAATTTCTCGCTTAATTGTTTTTCTTGAAAAACCTCTTACTTGAGAGTTTAATGCATTTTGAAAATAAATAAATCTAAGTTTTTCAGAAAACATGTATGGCAAATTTTCTTCACAAATCATTTCGGCCATTTTTTGCTTATTTTGCTCGTCGCTATAAGCAAAAAGGCCGCCCTTACCCCTGTTAGCAAACCGAGAAATTTGGGTTTGCAGTTCTTGTTGTCCCTTTTTTTTCACCGCGTATTTGGCGTACTCCATGGGGTGCCTCGCCCTTAGGTGTTTTTCCGGACCACCATAACCGCCGGAAATTTCCATTTTAATGACGGTGCCACAATAGTTACAAGTTCCAAAAACTACGCCATCTTTTGTTTCTTTTGAAAAATGATACACAAATAAATCTTATTTTAATTTTTTTTACCTTTCCCTAGACTTTGAGAGGTCTCGGGCTCACCTGCCTCCTCGTCGACGTCGGTAGGATGGTTGGTGTGCGGTGTAGGATCCACATCCATTTCTGCTTCATCAATGTCCTCGAATATACTTTCAAGAACTTCGAGATTGGCGTCGGCTCTACCTGACATATAATGGTCGAATTCTTGATCCGTCAAAGCGTCGCCCACGAATTGATCAGGAATACTAGGGAAGGAAGACACGGAGTGTCTTCCTTGAGAACTACGTGAGGTCGAACCGTCGGAGGTGGCTTTAGCTTTGCCTCTCCTCGAACTTTGGTTCACGACGCCCATATCCATGGACCTTCTACCGGACTCTCTCGACATTTTAATATATTTTTTTTTGATAAAAAAGGACTATATTAAATATTTTAAATATTAATTATATATTAATTTCAAAATTATAATATTAATTTATAAAAAATTAACAATATAATATATTAGTAAATAATAATATATGATTATTAATAATATGAATAATGAATGTATTTATATATTATTATATAATATATTAATATATATTTATATTATTATATGAATAGAAATTGTATAAAGATTGAAAAGAGATAATAAGAATTAATAGATAATTAGAGATGAAAATATGAAAATGATGAATAGATTGAGAAATGAGAGATTGAGAGATTGAGATTTGAGAGTTGAGTGTGAAATTTTTAAAAAAATTTGAGATTATTTATAATTGATTTTCCTACCCTCTCCGGCCCTCCCCCAACCCCCCTCCCTCTCAAACGGCTCTATACCCGTTGAGACTCCCTCCCCCACCCCACTTTTAATTGTCTCCACTCTTGCTTTTTTTTTGCAGGTTAGTTGCAGGTGGGCCGCATGCTTTGCAGGAGGAGTGGACACTTGGACAGCCCATGCAAAACAAAAAAAATTAATTTCGGTACCGGAACCGGTACCGAGTGGGGCGGTGCCGGTACCGGTTCCCGGAACCGTTGTAACGTACCGGCTGGCGGTGACGGTAGGTGGTACCGGCGGTACCGTTGCCGGTAACGGTACCGTACCGGTTCGTGTCCCTCGTCTTCTTCTTTTTATTCTTTTCTTTTTTCATTCTTTTCTTTTTTCTTCTCTTTTCTCTTTTTCTTTCTTCTTATTCCCTACACCCCTTCTTCATCTTCATCAACCCCCGCCCCCCCGCCACCTCTTTTATTTATGTTGTATTTCGTAAATTAATGTTATACTTGCTTATTTCTAATTTTTTATTTGTCACAATCCTTTTTATTTTTTAAAAGTTATTCATGTTTTTTTTTTTGCTTAAAATAAAATTTTGTTTTAAATTTATATAAGTTTTTAATTAAAAATAATGAATAATGTAAAAAACAAAGAGACAAATTTTTAGGACGATAGCATGACATATTTTTGAGGCAAGAGGAAAATTTAAAATTTATTAGAATAATGATGTGACATTAATTGAGCGGGTGAAAAAGCCCCTTCTAAATGCTCTTATGATTAGGGGTGGACACGGTACCGGTACGGTACCGTTACCAGCAACGGTACCGCCAGTACCAGTGACTGTCACCGCCGGCCGGCACGTCCCACCGGTTCCGGAAACCGGTATCGGTTCCGGTACCGTTATGTAATTTTTTTAATTTGTCCAAGCATAGCAACGGTCCACACCTACAAGATTCCTGCAAAAAAGTGAAGAAAAAAGTTAGTGGGGGTGGGGGAGACCTCAACGGCTAAAGAGCCGTTTGAGGTGGGGGGTGGGGGTGGGGGGGGGGTGGAAGAAATTATACTATAAATATACCTATTTTTTAAAAAAAAATTCACACTCAATCCATCTCTCAATCTATCAATCTCTCAATCTTATTATCTCTTTTCAATTTTTATACAATTTATATTCATATAATAATATAAATATATATTAATATATTATATAATAATATATAAATACATTCATTATTCATATTATCAATTATCATATATTATTATTTACTAATACGGCGTATTATAATTTCGAAATTTTCGAAATTTAATATATAATTAATTTTTTAAATATTTAATATAGTTCGAAATAGTCAAAAAAATATATTATGATATAATATAATTTTTTTAAAAATATAATTTTATATTATCAATTATCAATTATCAATTATCAATATAATTTTAAAAAATATTAATATATAATAATATATTGTTGGGTTATGGAACCCGGGGGCCTAGGTAACTAGGCGGAAGAGTATCGAACTAAGTCGAGAATGCCCAAAATATGGGCTCAAGTAAACTGAGAGTAATATTATGCTAGTTCGAGTATATCTTAGAATGTCCAAAATCCCCTTTCCCTTAGAAGGGAAGGAGTTTATATACAGATTACATCTAGGGTTCCGACCGTTGGTCCGTAATCCAACGGTCCGGGCCCACCATGATTGGGTTGTTCACTGGCGGCGTCCAACCGCATAATTAACCCTAGGACTGCTATATAAAGTAGGTTACAAGTAGGGTGGCTATAGCAACTCTGCCAGAGGCATGACAGGAGTCAAATCGTGGGCCCCTTGATCTTGACTTCAGTCAGCTCCCTTGTCCGAGTTTGGTCCGTCGTGGCCCTAGGCCAAGTCCGAGCGCACGACCTGTCATCGGAAGTCTCTTTGGCGGAAAGCCGGCCGGGGGTGGTTCGAGGATGACCGACCCTGCCGGGGCCGAGTGTGGTGCCGATGTGGGCTTCTCTGATCCTTTGCCTTGGTCCCGCCAAGTGGGCCTTAGCGAGATTGGGCTGGGCCGTCTTTCTGTTGGGCTGGATACCCCCATTCCCGGGTATCCATCATATATAAATACATTCATTATTCATATTATCAATTATCATATATTATTATTTACTAATATTATAATTTCGAAATTTTCAAAGTTTAATATATAATTAATTTTTTAAATATTTAATATAATTCGAAATAGTCAAAAAAATATTAATATAATATAATTTTTTAAATATTAATTTTTTAAATATTTAATATAGTTCGAAATTTAATATATAATTAATTTTTTAAATATTCAGGAAAAAAATATATTAAAATGTCGAAAGATCCGGTAGAAGGTCGGTGGATATGGGCGTCGTGAACCGAAGTTCGAGGAGAGGCAAAGCTTAGCCACCTCCGACGGTTCGACCTCACGCGGTTCTCAAGGAAGACACTCCGTGTCTTCCTTCCCTAGTATCCCTGATCAATTCATGGGCGATGCTTTGACGGATCAAGAATTCGACCATTATATGTCAGGTAGAGCCGACGCCAATCTCGAAACTCTTGAAAGTATATTCGAGGACATTGATGAAGCAGAAATGGACGTGGAGCCTACACCGCACACCAACAATCCTACCGACATCGACGAGGAGTCAGGTGAGCCCGAGACCTCTCAAGGTCCGGGGAAAGGTAAAAAAATTAAAATCAGATTTATTTGTTTATCATTTTTCAAAAGAAACAAAAGATGGACAGTTTTTGGAACTTGTAATTATTGTGCCACCGTCATTAAAATGGGAGTTCTGGCGGTTATGGTGGTCCGGAAAAACACCTAAGGGCGAAGCACCCCGTGGAGTACGCCAAAAACACGGCGAAAAAGAAGGGACGACAAGAAGTGCAAACCCAAATTTCTCGGTTTTCTAACAGGGGTAAGGGCGGCCATTTTGCTTATAGCGACGAGCAAAATAAGCAAAAAATGGCCGAAATGATTTGTGAAGAAAATTTGCCATACATGTTTTCTGAAAAACTTGGATTTATTGATTATTGTCAAAATGCATTAAACCCTTAAGCAAGAGGTTTTTCAAGAAAAACAATTACGCGAGAAATTATTTTACAGTATAAACTTGAAAAAATAAATTTGGCAAATTTTTTTCTCAATTTTAATTCTCGTGTTACTATTTGTTCTGATATTTGGGGTGAAACATATCATAAGTTGTCTTATATGGGTGTTACTTGTCATTGGATAGATAGTGATTGAATAATGCATAAACGTGTTCTTGCTTTTCGTGATTTCAATGATTCTCATACTGCTGAAAATATTTTTCTATTGCTTCAGCGTATTCTGCGAGAATACAATTTGTTGAAACACGGGCTTGTCACGTTTTCGTACTAAAGCCGTGTTTGTTTTTATGACAGGTTTTGATAATGCCAAACCGCCGTGATCAAGTCAAACATTGAATATACAAGGCGAAGAATGAAGATAAGAACAAGAGCTAAACGAAGACCAAGAACGAAGACCTTAGTCTTAGTATCGTTGAGTCGGTCTTCATTGTGATCAAGACCGACCCAATCTTTACACCTTGGCTCTTTAGGCTAAAATCTTTCATTGCATTTCTTACATCATAAAAATGTTTTTCAACCTTTTTTAAGTCATTAAAAACACTTGGTGTTCACCCAAACCAAAAACCAGGCCATCCAGTGTTCGGCTTTCAGAAACCAGCATTCGGCTTTCGGTTATCGGCATTGGTTTTTGGCTTCCGAACCAACCAAGTGGTTTTCAGCATTTTATGATTGGTTTCCACTCTTTGGCATGATTAAACAATTCTCCAACAAAAACACTTTGAAAACCATCTTTCGCTTTTGGTCGTTTGACAAAACCACGCAAAATGGCGTAAACTTGGTTAGCCGTGGTTTTTACTCAAATGACGTGGTTTTTAAAGCAACTCACTTGATTTCTTAGCCAAATACATCAAACAAGTGTTTCAAACACTTGGTTTTTATTTTTGGAGAACTTTGAATTTTTCGGTCGGTTTTTGCATCGGTTGGCTAGGCCGTGGTTAAGGCAAAGACCATGGGTTTTGGCTAACCACCCACCCAGCAATGGGAAGATCTTCCCATCGTTGGGTAAGCGGTCCCTTAGCCAAACCAACTTCTAGAACCATGCCAAACAGCGATGGGAAGCTCTACCCATCACTGTTAAAGCCTTGGTGCAAAATTAACACAAGGCAGAACAACCTTGCCCAGCGATGGGAAACCTATCCCATCGATGGGAACCCAGCGATGGTAAGGGTAAACCATCGATGGGAAGGCATGACCATTGGAAGTCATTTAAGGTTGATTCTTTCCTTATTTGGAAGTCAACCTCCCACCCAGCGATGGGAAGCTTGTACCCATCGATGGGTAGGCAACCGTTGGCTTCAAAACTGAAGGAAAATTGGCTTACTAGCGATGGGTAAGTTTCAAACATCGATGGGAAGCCAATATCCTGCAGATCCCAAATCTTTTCAATCTCATAAATCAAGCCAATCACCCCTTTAATGCATTGGTCCGTTGGAGTCTATTTTTGCACTATAAAAAGGGGTGTTTGGGTCTGCTTTTTATATCAATTCACTTCACAATATTCATATTATCATTGCATCCAAACAACATTATTTTCTATAGCTTTCTAGAGCCAATTTGTGTGAAGTTTGAGTTGTTCTTGAGCGTATATATTTTACTCAATATCCACTCTTAAGGAGAGTCTTGTTCTTGAGTGTCTTAGTGTTGTATACACGTTAAG